CTGTACCAGGGATTGAACTCAGGCCCTTGCACTTGCAGGCAAGCATTTATTCTACTGAGCTATCTCCCGGGGCCCCTCAACAGCTATTTTATTTTATTGTTTTTTTGAGACAGGGTCTCACTGTAGTCCTGTAACTCTCATCCATCCTCCTGCCTCAGCATCCTGAGTGCTAGAATTGCAGGCGTGCACTACCACTCGGCTCTGGTACTGGGGATTAAATTTAGGGTGTTTGCACTGAGCTAGTCTCAGCATTTTATTTTATATATTTATTTATTTATTTATTGTGGCGGAACTGGGGATTAAACTCAGGTCCTTGCGTTTGCCAGTCCAGCGCTTATCCTACTGAGCCATTTCCCCGGCCCTTATTTTATTTTTTTTATTTTGAGACAGTGTCACTAAATTGCCCAGGCTGTATTCAAATTTACAGCTCTCTGATACATTTAGAGAGGGGTGGGTACCCAGGCTCTGGGATTACAGGCATGTGCCACCTTCACTAGCTTCATTTCCCTTTACCTCTTATTACTGCCCTGTATATTTCCAATGAACAGAGATGAACTTGTCTGGTAGTTATAGTAGTTGTTAGATTCAGGAATTTAACATTGATACAAAACTTAACAGTTATGTATCTCAATTGTAAGTTACTAATGTCCTTCATGGTTTACATTTTGTTGTTTTCTCTCCTGAGGGTTTTTGTTGTTTTCTTTTTTTTTTTGAGACAGGGTTTCACTATGTAGTTCGGGCTGACTTTGTGGTCACTTTTGTAGCCCCCAGGCTGGCCAGCATGGCACGAGGGCCAGGGATCGTACTCGGGTCCTTGTGCTTGCCAGGCAGGTGCTTATGCCTCTGAACTATGTCCCCAGCCCTCTCTCGATTTCTTTAATCTGCATTTGTTCCCTAGCCTTTCCCTGACTTTCATGAAATTGATCCTAATTTTATAAATGTTCTTCAATTTGAGTTCATTATGCTTCCTTGGAATCAGATTTCAGGCCTATGTTTTCCCAGTTGAAATAATGGCTGGATTCTTCCCAGAGCGTCACACCCGGGCACACGCTGCTATCTCACCTGTTCCTCCTTTTAACCCCTATTGTTAGGTTCTCCAAATACAGAATTACTACTTTACTTTTTGTAAGTAATTAGCAGCTTGGGCTGGGCAGATAGCCCTGAAGCTTAAGCACCTGCCTGGCAAATGCAAGGTAGGTCCTGAGTTCAATCCCTTTGGTACAACTCTCCCAAAAAAATCTAATTAGCAGCCTCTGGAGAGATACTTTAAGACTATGCAAATACTTCCTGCTCATCAAACTTTTTTCCCCTAGATTTTGCATTCATTCATTCTTGCTTGGACCAGCCTGACTCAGCTGGTTTTTAAGTGGTGGTCTTGGGGCTGGTGAGATAGCCCAGCTGTCTAATGGTCTAAAGCCACCTGCTTAGGCAAGCTTAGGCAAAACACCTTGATCCCAGGCACCACATGCTGTGCCAGCCCCGCCCCTAGAGCAGGCTTAGCTGGCCACAAAAAAAAGGTGGTTTTTCCAGTTTCACAGCTCCCTTTCCACTTAGCAGTTGGCATAAGGATGGTCTCCTGCCTACCACATTCACTGAATATCAGTGTGAGCTCAGGAGTTCCTGGGTTATTTAGTACCAGGAATTTCAGGACCTCAGCTTGCCAGGCAGATGCTGTGCTGCCAAGCTGTTCCCTAGCCCCAGGAGTTCCTCTCTTCACCCAGGAGAAGGACCCATTGTACCTTAGGGTGATGCCACGTTTTCTCAGCCTGAGCTGGTGGGAGCCCCGGGCCCAGTGTGCCTGTGAGAATCTCCCATCGTGGTGGTTTGGTTTGGTTGACACACTTTCACTCCTTGACCTAATAAGATGTTCAGGGTTTATCTTATACCTTCTGTGTCCCAGCCCTGGGACCAGGCATCTCTCTAAGGAGTCGTGGTTTCATTAACAGGGAAACACAACTAAAAAGCAAGATGAAGGCATTTGATGTCCTCATTGCTACAACTTCAGTGTTATTCTGTGCCTTTCATAGTAGGGAAACATAAGAATATCATACAGAAGTTGATAGTGATAAATCCCAAGCCAGTCCTGAAAACTTCCCTCGGTCCCTATCCCATAGTTGTGTGTCTGCTCCCATAGTAACCCCGGCTCGCAACATCTACACATTGTCCCTAATACTGACAAGTTTCAGGATTGCCACACTTGCACCTCCATAGAGTGAAACTATAAAAAAGAGTTCATCGGACTTACATCTGTACGTCATTGAGCATATCTGGGTTACTTGCATTAGTTTTCCGCTCCCTCCTGGAGTAGTCATAATATTTAATTAAAAAGCAGTTGGTGGACTGGGGAGATAGCTCAGCAGCATAAGCACCTGCCTGGCAAGTGCAAGGTCCTGAGTTTGACCTTCAGTACCCACCCCTCCTCCCTGCCAAAAAAAAAAGTTTGGTTTTTCTCCTTTTCTCTCTTCCTATTCTTTTTTTCTGTGTGTGTGTGTGGCCTGTTCAGTCCACCCTGGGGGCAGGGCTGGCACGTCATGTTGTGCTGGCATCAAACCTCAATCCCTGTGCTTGCCTAAGCTTGCCTAAGTAGGTATTTTAGACCAATGAGCTATCTCACTAGCACCTTAATTTTAAAAATATATGAAACATTAAAATGCTTATTGTTAGGATATTTTCTTCAGATAAATTCCTAGAAAAGATTGCTGGCTGGAAGAATATGTCCTTCCCCCCCAACCATGTATGCCAGTGCTTCTTGTGCTGTTTTTGAATTTATGCTAGCCAGGTAAGTAGGAAAGGGGAACTCGGAATAATTTCATTTTATTTTATTATTTTTTAATGTATTTAATACAGGGTCTACAGGGTCTCACTACACAGATTGGACTCATAATGATCCTCCTGTTTTCAGCCTCCCAAGAGCTGGGATCACAGGCACGCTCACCACCATGCCCAGTCTCAATCAATGTCTCAGCCTGCCCCGGGGGCGGGGCTGGCACAGCTTGTGGTGCCAGGGATCGAACCCCTGCCTCTGCGCTCTGCCTAAACAGGCACTTTAGTCCGCTAAACTATCCAGCCAGCCCTGCTTGGTGTAATTTTAATTTGCACTTTTCTTACTATGAGTGAGGTGGAATATTTTCACTTAACATAAGGGCTATTTGAATCTCTTATGACTTGTCTATACATGCCTTATGCCCATTTTCTTTTTCTTTATTTTTTTTTCTTATGCCCATTTTCTATTGGGTTTTCAGTTTACTTTTTCCTCCTTAATTGTAAAAATTTACACCTCCATAGAATGAAACTATAAAAAAGAGTTCTTCTGACTTACATCTGTAAGTCATTGAGCATATCTGGGTTACTTGCATTAGTTTTCCCCTCTGATATATGTTCGAAATACTTTCAATTCATGTTTCTTTTTTTATGTATTTACTACAGGGTCTACAGAGTCTCACTACATAGATCAGACTTGTAGTGATTCTCCTGTTTTCAGCCTCCCAAGCGCTGGGATTACAGGGTGCACCACCACGCCGGGTCTCAATCGCTGTCTCAGCTCACCCCAGGGGTGGGGCCGCACGGCATGCCAGGGTTTGAACTCCAGTCCTTGCAGACACTTTAATCTGCTGAGCTATCTGGCTGGCACTAATTAATGCTTCAGTTTTTAACTTTGTTTATGGTGGCTTTTTGCCTTGCAGAAATTTTTTTTCTAATCAAATTTATTAATCTTTCATTTCATTTAGTTTTTTTCTTTTCTTTTTTTTTTAAAACAGCATCTCTCTGTGTAGTTCAGACCAGCCTTGAGCTCAACATGTAGTCCAAGCTGACCTGGAACTTGCAAGGATCCTCCTGCCTCAGCCTCTCAAGTGCTGGGATTACAGGTATGTGCCACAGGCCTGGCTCACCTAGATTCTGAGTCAGACTTTTCCTGTACTCATTTTTTTCCCCATAATTTTATTGAGAAACAAATAGCAATGAGACAGTTTCAAATCAAATTGGTAGTACAGTTTCAATATCTGTACTCATTTTGTAGAGAGATTGATCTACATTTCTGGGGCTATTTTTAGAATTTTATTTTACATTTAGATCTTTGATTGTATTAGACCTTATTTCTGTGTACAGTGTTAGGACTGGGTTTAATTTTACTTTTTAAAAACGTGAACCAAAATTTTTATTCATTTCTTGCCTTTGAAGTATTCTTCGATGACACCCTTGGCCTGTGATTCTTTTCCATAGTCCTTGACCACCACACAACTGCAACCAACCACTCCAGGAGGCTTTCTCTCAGAGTCAGTTTTACAGGGGCCTACCCATTGCCCGAGTTTCTTGTTGTCGTCAACCTTAATTAGGTTGGTTTGGTGCTCAGCACAAAGGGCCTCCACTAACTTTACATACGTGGGCTCATCGCGGTTGGATGCATGCGCACAAATACGGGCTTGGCGCTTGGCTAAGGCTTTGGCAGCTTCAGGAATCCCACGCGCAAGAACGTGGGTGAGGGCTGTCTTCAGCATCTCTTGTGAAGCAGCGCTGACGTCCCTTGCACCTCCTGCGACAGTGCCCTCCTCTGCCGTGGCAGCGGGTTATAGGTGAAGCCCGAGCTTTCTCCACCATCGCACAACTCCGCGATGGCAGGGAAAGAGCTAATTCTATTTTTTTTTCCAAATGGCTGTCCGGTTGTTTTCATATCAGTTATCTAAAAGTTCATCCTTCTGCTAGTGGCTTAAGGCAGCCTTGGTAGACCCTAAATTCGCAGTTGGCTCTGTTCCGGGGCCTGTTCCCCTGGCCTGCCTGGTCACTCCGGTGCACTGCTCTTTCACCACACCAGCTTTGTGATATTATTTGCTATTTTATAGGCCTAGTGTTTACTGAGCCTTTCCTTAGCAGTTTTCCAGCTATCGTGGCACATTTATTTTTTGTATGATCATTATAATTTGTCCAGCTTGAGGGTGAGAAAAACCTTCTTGGTAATTTTATTGAGATCACATTAAATGTATATACTAACTTAGAACTGATGGTGATTTGTTTGTTTTTGGTGCTAGGTATAGAACCCAGGGCCTTGCACATGCTAACTAAGTGAGTAGTCCACCGCTGAACTACACTTCTAGTCTGTTCTGTTTGTTTGTTTGTTTGTTTGTTTGTTTTGTTTTTGAGAAAAGATTTCACTAAGTTGCCAGGGATATAGCTCAGTGGCACAAGTGCCTGCCTGGCAAGTGCAAGGTCCTAACTGTAATTCCTGGTACAGGAAAGGAAGGGAAGGGAAGGGAGGGGAGGGGAGGGAAGAGGAAGGGAGGAGAGAAGAGG